AAGTCCCATTAACACTGTGGAGGAATTAAGAGAAAGAATAGTTGCAGCTTGTGATAGAATGAAAAACAATCCAGGGATATTTCAACGAGTAAGCAATTCCATGAGAAAGAGGGCGGAAGCATGCATACTAAGTGAATGGGGCCATTTTCAACAATTTTTGTAATCATTTCGTTGATTTTAATGTTGTTTATGTTGTCAGTTGTTGTTTTATCATTACCCCTAATGTGTTTAATTTTTCCAATTAAATTAAAAATAAATTTGCAAGTTAGACAATAAAACGTTTTTTATTTTTTTACTCAAAAATGGCGCATCGAAGGAAAACAGTTCAAGAGAGATGATTTGTTTTAAATTGAACGGGGAATTTAAAAATAATTTTTATTTGGGAAAAGACTATTGGCGTACTATTTTTTCTTCTAAAAATTATTTTTGCATTGAGAAATATGCAACTTTATTAACTTTCACTACGTACTAAATATCAGTGAAGTATCTGAAGCGGTTGTGAAAATATTAATTAATTTCCATTTTTTTCCTAAAACTTCAACACCCCGAGTTTAGGAAAGGAAACATTTTGAACCATAGTTTATAAAGCAAACTAACATTAATTTTTCATGTAGATTCACACCCTTATATATTCGCATATCATTAAGGAACACCCTGTATATTAATGTTGAAGCATGTGGTATATGAAAAAAAAGTGAGGAAACTTAAATACACTTTCTTTCCCAATTAGTTTTTTAATTAACTTGGAATCTTAACCTAAAAGGGAGAATCTATTAAAACTGTGGCATAGGAATGGAAAACATTTTCTAGTTAAGAAATTAATATCAAAAACTGAACAGGTTTGATATTTGATTCACTCATATTCAAATCAGAGTTTCCTATCTATGCTAGACACTTCAAAAAAATATTAAATTATTGGCTCAAAAGTCAGCATTTATCTCTTGCAGTATTGGTAGTTGCAATTTAGTGTGCTTCCTAATTGAATGTCCCTATCTAAGGGGGTGGTTTTAAGTCCATTTTAAGATGAAGACTTCATATGATCGTATGTCCTAAATGTTTTATCTGTTGAGACCCAGGGTGGTAAAAAAGGCAAAAAAAATAAATCGTTGATTATGTATATCTGTAATATTTATTTAATTTCACCTGACTATTTTAAAAGTGATAGTATGCCGTTGATTTATCTCTTATTGAAATTGTCAATCACTTCTAAGCGAAAAAACACTTTTTTTCAATCTGACGAACGGTTTTCATAAAATTAAAATACTGTTTCACTCTTCGATCATACCAATATTGTTAACATGACAATATCACCATGCAGAGCAATTTTTGGGTCGAAATCGTGGGTTAGACATAAAAAAATTGAATTCTTGAAAAATACAAGCTTTTTCTCGACAGAGTGACATTGCCATACTAACGATGTTAGGATCACGCAAAGAAACGTTATATTATTTTTCAAGCGAATACCGTGCATCGGAGTGGAAAAAGTAAGCAATCAAATTTGCTTAGAAATGACTGGGGATTTCACGAGTAGTTTTTATTTTAAGAGAAATCAGTTGCGTACTATCATTGTGTGCCAAAATGGGCAAGTGAAATCGGTATGAACGACGCAGGTGGAAATTAAAAGAAAATTCCTACATTAAAAATACCTCTTGACAGTACGTATATGCCGAATTTTAATAAAGTATTTAAAGTAGTATTAAATATTGACATTCAGTTGGAAATTACCAATTCATAGGTGTGTTATTTAAAAATAAAAAACTGTTTTTTAATATCTTCAAAACCGTCAATTGGAATGAACTAAAATTTGGTATGTGGATAGTATTGTCCACATCCAACAGTCTTTACTTAAAATGAACGTGCACCAGTGGCGGAGATACAGGGTATTAGTGGAATTATTTTTCCGAATAAAAATAGTACGCCACTGATTTTTTTCGAAACGCGCAAATTTTCGAATTCTACCTTCAATTTGCTACAAATAATTACTATTGTGTTTTTTCCTAGAGTGCACTGTTTTCGTAAAATTAAAAAAAATAGATAATCAAAGCTTTATTTCAGTAAATGTTCAAAAGGACCACCATTCTGACGGATACTAGTGCGGCATCTTTTTAATAAAGAAAAACGCATTTCCGCTAAATTTGTTGTGGCTTGAATTCAAAAAGAAATCCAGGGGGTTCAAATCAGGAGACCTCGCAGGCCAATGTACGGGTCCGTTTCTGTCAATCCATCATTGTCTAAAATGATTACTTAAACATGCGGTTATGTCATGACGAACATGGGGTGGGGTAGCGTCGTGCTAATACCACATTCGTACTCTCGTTGCTAACGGAACATCATCTAACACATTTTCTATGTAATATGCAATACGTGCATAAACAGTTGACCATTGAAAATGTCACACCAGATATTTTTAGAAAATATTTGTTGAAACGAGTGGATTTTTACAGAACGGAGGTTCTAACAATCAAATATGTTCATTGTGAGAATTAAAGGTTCCACTCCTCTGACCACAAAACCAAATCAATAAAATCTGCATTTTGATTATGCGTTTGCAATAACCACTAACAAAAATTTCGACGTTGCACTTCGTCGCCGGGTTGCAGATATTGCACATTTTGCCGATGGTAAGGATGTAAAACTTCCCGATTTAAAATTCTCCACACAAGACTTTGGAAACATGGTCACTGGGCTGTTCTCTTGAACAGTATGGGCCTCTAACTCCGGGAAGTTTGGCAATTGCATATTGGGGAAGTCTTAGAAATAAACCCGTAAAAACCTTTGGAGTAGGTTGGCGTCTGTTAGGAAATCCACGTTGATACGAAAAGAAACTTTTGACTTAACTTTTACAAAATAAATCGTAGTAGTAACGATAACAACCGCATAACAAATATCTTTGACAAACTATCTCCCAAGAAACGACAAGTTGGTATCAAGGATTCTATTTTATTTTGAAACTATGTAATTGTATCTCGGCTCTTCATGAATGATCTAATTTGTTTTATTTTTATTTTTACGAAAACAGTGCACTCTAGGAAAAAACAAGAGTGATAATTTGTAGCAAATTGAAGATAAAATAGCAAATATTGCGCGTACAGTGGCGTACTTTTTGATTTGGAAAAATAATCCCAATAATCTTCTATATCTCCGCCACTAGCGCACGTTGATTTTGAGTAAAGACCTTTGAATGCGAACAATACTTAAATCCACATACCAAATTGTTTAATAATTTTTTATTTTTAAACCTCAACACCCCGTATCTTTTTAATGAAGTCCTCAAGGAGAAAATGTTACATAAAATGCGGTCCTGTGAATGATGTTTTATTTTTGGTCACGACTTGTGAATCACCCTGTGTATCACCGACTTGCACTCATTCGTCAACCTTGTAGTATTCAATTTTTTGCTGATGACTCTCAAATTTATAATGACTTCCGTAGTTGCAACACTCAAATTGCTGAATATGAAATCAATGGAAATATAAAATCAAATAGTGCATAGGCAAAAATCATAACCTCAAACTAAAGCCTTCAGAATCAAAAGTTATTATTTTTTTACCCAAACCTTCATGTTAAAAACAACTTTAATGCTAGCTTAGATGGTGCTACTATCGAAATTAACGAAGCACTCAAAAACTTGGGAATTGTTTTTGATGAGTGCCTCATATAAACAAAGTTACCAAAAGCTGTTTTCCGATCTTACGTCAGTTATATCTGAATAAACAAATTCTCGATTATCAAATTAATAAAATCTTATGCGAATCGTTAATGATGTCCAAAACTACTTAGTGTGGTATAATTTACAATCCATTTTTAGAAAAACATCTCTTTCACGTTTACAAAAAATTCAAAATTCATGTTGCAGACCAATTAATAATTTGAGAAAATATACCATATAAGCGGTTCTTTAAGAGACTTGGGGTGGTTAAAGGTGAGAGAGCTATATGAGCTACACCTATTAACTAATACTCATAAGCTCTTGCTTACTTGGGTTCCCTCGGTTTTAAAGAACAAGCTGATCCCTCGAAATTCTACTCACTCAAGAGACATACGGTTTACTGAGACACTCACAATGCCTCTTCACAAAATCTCATTCTTTCGTAAGTGCTTCACATTCAACGCGATAACACTTTACATGTATAATGAAGTACCTCAGGCGTTGAAATCACTAAATTACAGTGACTTCAAAAACAAATTAAACAATTTATTTTAGAAAAATACTCACCTGAATAGTTTGACCACTCATTTCGCAAAATGTTTCTTGTTCTGTGTACATCCACATGTATGATTAAATTTTCATTATTTACTGTTACTATACTTAGGTACCTATATTACTTTTACGTATGTATAATCGTCATTGTATTTTTTTTTTGTATTGTTAAGGGTTGGCAGAATAGCTTCAAGCTAAACTTCGCACTTTAATAAGAGACCTTTATTATTACTATTATTATTTATTTACTGTTTTTATACAATTACAATACAAAAGCATGGATTTTTTGGGAAACAACAGTTATAATACAGGATCTACTATTCATCTTAAAACAGCGACATGCAACATTTCCAACAACAGACGCTGATTAATTCTTGCCTCTTTTTGAAAATGCAACCACCTGTTTCAAATACACGTGCAGTCTGGTCCTTATTGTTCTTTTTTTATCATACTACTATCACTGGCGGATTTGGTGAGGGTACCTCCCCTCCCCCCTTCCAGCCATTTTTTTTTTCAAGAAAATGGTATATATTGCTGTATCTTAATGTAAAAATTGCCTTGCTAGTCCTAAGATCGTGCACCCTCCCGATAGACGTGCTCTTCCATTTTCTTTGGCCGCCTTCCCCCCTCGCTTTACTACTAACTGATATTCGTGCTGCTATATGTATATTTAGTTAGAGCATCTGAACTCTGCATCAAGCTGCAGTAAGGCAAGACGGCACCATTTGCATTAATTTATTTTTCAGGAATTGCCTCGCATTGTGCATTATTTTCATTGGCGCTTTTAATTTCTTTCCAGGTTTTTTCTGAAGCACTCGTTTCTAGAGCAAGCATTTGACATGCTTGTCGAGCAGGGTTTTAAAATGGCTGGCAGTTGCGGCTCAGGGACAGCTGGAGCAGCAAATGCAGATCTAAAGCCCGGGGTGGATGCTGAAGAGAATCGTTGGAATCACTACAATGAGTTCGTTTTTATACGAGATTAATCATCAGCAAGCACTGGTTGATTCTTGTGTATATTGTTACCGTGATTCACTTCCACACTAGGAAATATTCGGGATGTCGGCTGGACATGTGAGTTAGTTGGTTATACAATAGCTCCACGATTACATACATCGTGAAGCTTGGTCAAATGGCCGAGCACTGAGAACAAAATTGATATTAAATACATAGGATCAACTAGTAACAAAAGTTGGGTCATTTGAGATGATTGAGTTAATTCTATAAATGTCTCACTAGCTGAGTACGCCACTGTGGGTAAAACATGACAATTTATAACATATTCGGAAGTTAGTTGTCAGCAGAAAAAATGTTACTTCTGATCACTTGTTTCGAAGCAACCAATATTCATGCAGATATTTCAAGTACCTGCACATTTTTCTAAATACTTCTAGGTATTCAAGACTGTCGAGATATCTTGACTTATTTATTTGATACCTTACATAGTTGCATTGATACTTCTATGAACTTCGAGTGCTTGGACATATACTTCAAGTACTTCCGCGGGTTTTTTTAATATCCTAAGTATTTAGTATATGACGACTTCATTTATTTATTCCTCGAATAGATATTCGAGTACTTCAGTAAGGTCCTTCGAATACTTCTAGTACTTTTATAGGTACTGTATACTACATTGATTCAAGTGTGCATCTACTTCAAGTGAATAAATTCGAAAACCATTGGCAATATTTCTAGAGCAGAAAGTATATCAAATAATAAAAGTGACCCTTTACGAACATACATGGTGTTGGAAACTTTGCAAGTGCATAAATTCGAAAACCGTTGACAATATTTCTAGAGCAGAAAGTACATCAAATAATAAAAGTGACCCTTTACGAAGATACATGGTGTTGGAAACTTTGCAAGTGATATTGTACAGAAAGGCAGTGTCTTTTTTTCTCATATATTGAAACCAATAAAAATTTCCTTCTTAAGGACTGGTCAAAATATCCGTTTCTGTGCCACGTCTATGGTTTGAGTAAGAAAAATTATTGCATGTATTGATTATGCCATTCGAGCGCACACAATTTCACGTCGATATCTTTATCCATTCAAAATATATAATTTAAATTCAGCGAATAATTAACCGATGCCGCCCTTCCGCATAGGGCAGAGAGCCAAGTAGGGCCGACACCCCATTATACTAACTTTGACGGCCATCTGTTTTGGGGCCTGTGCCCATTGAGGCATTTGTTCAGGTCGCCAAGACACATACATATAAAAAGTAAAATTCAGCGAAATTAACCGAAACCACTTTTCCACTTAAAGCACATATTGGTGTAGGGCCGCTACCCCATTATACCGACTTGGACGGCTTGAGATCCGTTGAGTTTTGGCGCCTGTGCTCATAAAGGCATTTGTTCAGGACGCTACGACACATAACATATAAAAATTTAACGAAATTAACCGAAAGCACTCTTCCACTTAAAGGAGATATCCGAGCAGAACCGATACACCATTATACTGACTTGGGCGGTCTATATCTGAGGAACCGTATAGTATCGAGGCATGTGTTTATTAAAATATCTGTTCAGGATATCAAGACGCATTACATATAAAAAGTTCAGCGAAATGAACTGAAACCACTTTTCCCATGTGCTGCCGGGTGCTTTATAACTTCAAAACCCTGTATCTTATAAGAAGGCAGTTTACAGCAATTATCTCTCTCATTTTTGGACGTACTTTCTGTCCCAGAAATACATGGTGTCCGCAAAGTTGGGGTTTTCCTTTTCAGAAACAACTACCCTTGAAATAACAAAGGTAATGTGTAGTGAAACGAGGGCGACCAAGTAAAAAAAAATTAAAGGAAAAAGTACTCACTCTCCAGTTGACGAGAAGGGCTAAGTACGTCTCTGCCCGAAATCATACCGCTCCAACAGAAAATGAAATCATCTGATGCGCTACCGAGCAGACGCAGGTAAACAAGGAAGGCAAAATGTTGCGTAAAAAGTCTAGGTATTGCATCCCGTCCAATCGATTTGGGAGAATAAATGGTCCAACGAGCATACCGTTCACCATGCCAGCCCAAAGATTCACCGAAAATGTTTGTTGAAAATGTGCCCAACGGACAGCGTGCGGATTTTCTACTGACCAAACATGAGTGTTGCGAAAGTTATTCACCCCATTACGCGTGAAAGTAGATTCGTCTGTCACCAACATGCACTTCAAAAAGTCCGGATTATTGTCCTGTTGATGCAACAACCACTCACAAAACCGCACTCTTGCTGGAAAATCGTCAGGTTGAAGGGCTTGTACACGTTGGACGTGAAACGGATACAGCCCCTCTTCACGCAGCGTTTGCCACACTTTAGTTTTTGATACTTGCACTTCTCTAGCCACGTCTCTAGTGCTTGTTGAGGGATTCTCGTCTACCTCTACACGCGTGACCGTAACCGTCGGTTGAAGGTTGCATACTGACCTGACACACTGACCCCGACCCAGTTCTGTCGTCGGGTTGAGCTAGTGCCCTAGCACCACTGGGGGATGTCGCGGCTACAGGACGGTATTCAGATATTTTTGATGTTGCAGAGCCCTTTATCTCGGTTCCCTTAAGACATTGGTGTATATGGTACTAAGAAAAATTGCTTATGTTTTCAAGATCTACACTACTGTAAAGGAAAACCCCAACTTTGCGGACACCCTGTGTTTGTCAAATACGAAAAAATAAATATGGCCGTTTAATTTCTTTCTCCAAATGACATCCAAAATAGAGTTAAAATCTAAAATTTGAAGCTTTTTAACTGAGCGGAGTTTGATCAACAGACCACGTTGAACTGACATCCTATGCTGCCTATGATTCTCAGTCAAGTCAAGTGTTGCAGACTGCATGAAAGTATGATTGACTTGTTATTGAATATATCCAATATAAATTGACCTTTACACAAAATAAAACTGAGCACACATATAACCTAATGTCTAACCACTAGAACAAAGAGTGAACAGTTAAAGCTCATTAAATAGGGTAACAAGAACATTTTCATTTTATACTACAGGCAACTAGGAAAGCATGAATTAAAGTGAAAAGTATGTGTAAATATATATATAAAATATTATGTCTACATAAATTTTTAAAAGATCTGGCATGATACCCAGAGCTGTGATTAACACCTATGATATTTCATAATTGATTTGAATTTGAACCGATGCTGACACTTTGAATATTCAATTTATCTTATGTGGTAAAATTTGTGGCATTTTTGAAATTTAATCATTGTCAAAAGCCAAAAAATTGTAAGTGCATCAATATGAATCTCAAAATTCCAATATTCCTAAGATACAAGGTATTAAATAAAAAAGATGTATTTTTCCTCAAACTGTTTATAACTTAGAAAGAAATGAATGAATTTCGAAGTTCATATTTTTGCAATGTTCACTGGTCTAAAAATAAACACAGATGCTGCATCAGAATATTCATATGTTCTATCACTAACATCAGACGGGGAAACATGTAACGTATTACTCTACAGTTTGACTACTAGTTTAGAATATCAGTTGTTCACTACTAATGTGAGAACTACACGACTGTCTTATGAAGCCTAGTAGGTCGTCTGTAGGAAAAGGTATCTCGCCCGTTTGTTCACATTTCTGCGCTGAAATCAATTTTGGGGCAAAATACCTGTAAGGTTCTTATTTATTCAAAGTAGAGTGATCTGTTGTATAGGTCTTTTTTGGTGGGTCACACTTTAACTACTTTAATACATCCATCTCCATCTCGCATACATATACAATCGGTCTCAGTGCGCGGACGTTTGTCTGAGTAAACTCAAATACATACATTTTTTAGCTTTGTCTCGCGCCATGAAAATTTCCTGTCAACGCACTAGTCGTCCACATTTATGACTGTCACTGCCAGTATGACAACTTGCTCGTCATGATGCAATTTTAAACGATGAACCATGATAAACCGCGGTTGTTCCTTGGTTATGGCCTTGATTATTTGCCCTTCTGATATACAGCTGAGGTCAGGATTGCTTCACGCAACTGTTTTGTGGTCCAAGGTGCAATTCAAATATAAGTAAATACTTCACTGAGATACTAACAACGCACCTAACTAGTTTTTGAATCCTGAAAAAAAACAATGGATGAAACGCCGATTGTCATCTGATTTTGTTTTTTTTTTTCACTGATAACTTTTTACGGAAAATTATAAGTCACCGACCACACAAAAGGCACAACACAATATTAAAGAGTTATGTTTTATTCCTGAATTGACATTTGACATTCAGAACCGCATAGAATCCACCATCTGTACAAGGTTCTTATTAGTCCAACTATTTGATGCAAACCGCTTCGCTTAAAGAAAAAGTTATTACCAAACACGGCCGGTTAAGATTGGCAGATCGCTTAAAATTGCTTATGGATATGTGACTTGTGTTTCCCCATGCTGACCTTTGATATAAAACACGGTAGTGCCTCAAGATACAGCTACAATTCATACTAGGTAGAACGAGCCAGACAAGCATTTGTTTGTCTCCTATTTATCAGTGAGGATCAAAGTCGATACCACATCTGCACTTGACATAAGTTAATTTTTTAACAGTTCTGGTAGTGAATTCATATTTTAATGTTATCTTTTAAAAGTGCGAGTGTTTGCAGATAATTGTGGTTTTAGCCGATTTTAGAGCATGGTCTTACATAATTTTCAAAGAGGAGCACAAGCCTAATAAAGATAGATGTTTCCACCGGTAAGTATTATGTTGATACAACGCTGTCAATTTAGTAAGCATTGGTAGTCAAATGAGTCAAAAGTTTACACCAAAACTACGCAATTTTGGCAACAAACAATGCAATGTAAACATATAAGTTTGGCTCGTTCTAATCTATTCAGATTCGTTGCTATAACTCAATTCGTGTGTGGGTGCAAGAACGAATAGCAGCTGAGTTACGGATCGTCTCGCGCAGTGTGCAATTTCCTTTAGGAAGTTAAGCTACGCACATGGTAACATTAAGCGCAATCCACACAGAACGGGCGTGTGGTGGTGGCGTGGGACTGGCGTGGTGCGGTAGAGGAACAGACGTGGCGCGTTGAATTTACACTGAAATGTCAGAACTCAGTTTCCCTCAAGGCGTAGATCACGGAGTGACGACAGACGATGCTTTCGGATGACGAAGATGATCAAGATATGTTAGAGCTTCTGAATTTAGCGAACATACAAAGGCAAAGGAGATACTGGATACATCCTTTGTGGCTAGATAAAGGGAAAACTAGTGGTTCGTTCCACTTTATGCGGAAGCTCAATATGTACCCTGAACGTTTTCAAAGTTTCTATCGAATGTCCAGTCAATGTTTTTATAAAATACTAGCATTAGTAAGAGTAGATCTTGAAAAGAAATCAACAAATTGGAGAGAACTGGTCAGTCCAGAGGAGAGGCTGTTAATAACGCTGAGGTAAGTTGAAAAAATATATTAAAGTAAATTGATTTAACTCAAATAAAAGAAAACATAAAATCAGTAATATCAGGTATTAATTATTGTATCGTATAAACTCAGTAATATTGAAAGGGTCCATGTTGGTTTGCGGGATTGAACCTGGATTTCTATTCACCGAATCTTCAACCCAAGATTGAGAACCATCCATTGGTGGAGTAGTAGCTTCCAGATTGGTTGAGGATAGTATTTGCTCGGCCAACTTTAAAATGCCCATTTTGAAACGCCGTTTCTGGTTAGAGTTCATAGACTTCATGTCAGGCAGAACACTGTGTAAAAATGCCAGGTCAGGATCAGGAGGATCAACTGTGGTATTTGTTTTCGTGACGTTCTGGATCTCCAGTACTTTGTTTTTCCTCAAAATACTGATAAGCTTGCTGGTTGACATCATTGATGGAGGTTGCTTCTTTTTTTTTTAAATCATCTCCTTTTAAAGATGGTGTTTTAGGTGCTTTCATTGCTAACAGGTGATCATCGACAGAAGTACTGGGAGATGGTATAGGTGAATGAGAGGAATGAGTGGATAGAATGTAATCGGGTGATTGAACCTCAATATTGCCGTTTTCTTCATATTCATTAGCATCTGTTCCCTCATCAGCTGATAATGCAGACTCTTCAGCTA